CAGCAGCAGCAGCAGCACCAGCACCAGCAGCAGCAGCAGCAGCAGCAGCAGCAGCAGCAGCAGCAGCAGCGTTGTTTACTTTTGTAAGCATTTCTATTGCTGCTTGTGTGTCACCTTTTTTAAGAGACAGCAGCGCGCAGTCTCGTGCTGCAGCAGCAACACCCCCATCTGCTGCCTTCAGCAGCAAACCCCTGAAACACAAACCCTAAACCCTAAACCCTAAACCCTAAACCCTAAACCCTAAACCCTAAACCCTAAACCCTAGAAAAGAGATAATAAATCTTAAGAGTTAAAACTTAGAATGTAAACAGTACAGCTTAATGCCTAGCGTGAAACCCTAAACCCTAAACCCTAAACCCTAAACCCTAAACCCTAAACCCTAAACCCTAAACCCTAAACCCCAATATATTCTATAATACAACATTATAAACAACAAAGACAATTATAGTTAATGATAAACCCTTATACACCTCAATAAACCCTAAACCCTAAACCCTAAACCCTAAACCCTAAGAGAGGCAGAACGAAAACACAAGGAGGACCTCACCGCGTTCGCTCTTCCTCAGCAGCACTCTGCTGCTGCTGCTGCTGCTGCTGCTGCTGCTGCTGCTGCTGCTGCTGCTGCTGCTGCTGCTGCTCCAGCAGCTTAGCGAGCTCATAGCAAGCCACTGGGTCGTCGTTCTTTGCCTGCCCCTCCCAGTACTGCAGCACGTCCTCCTGGATTCATAAACAATAAACCCTAAACCCTAAACCCTAAACCCTAAACCCTAAACCCTAAACCCTAAACCCTCAACCCTAAACCCTAAACCCTAAACCCTAAACCCTAAACCCTAAACCCTAAACCCTAAACCCTAAACCCTCCCTAAACCCTAAACCCTAAACCCTAAACCCTAAACCCTAAACCCTAAACCCTAAACCCTAAACCCTAGAAGGGATATTTGGGTATCTGTTAGTAGTTATATTTTTGTTTGTTTGTTTAGGAGGCCCCCCCCCCTTTCTGAGGTGTACAGACACCCTCTGCTGCCGCTAAACATATTAAACTGCTGCTGCTGCTGCTGCTCGTTTACTTCTGCTGCAGCTTGCTGCAGCAGCAAAACCACAGCAACAGCAGCAGCAGCAG